ATGGATAATGTGCTCTTGGCACAAGACTTGTGCCAATATCTAAGTCGAAAAGCTGAGGGGGGGAATTTTGTATTGAAGCTAGACGTGATGAAAGCTTTTGATAGAGTGAAGTGGAGCTTTTTGGAGAAGGTGCTATTGAAGTTTGGATTTCCTATGCATTTTGTTTTACTCATCATGAATAATTTGCGTAGCGGATGGTTCTCAATTATGATAAATGGTTCTCCAGTTGGTTTTTTCAAACCTTCAAGAGGAATTAAGCAAAGAGACCCTTTGTCTCCTTACTTGTTTATCATAGTTTCTGAGGCTATGACAAGGAGACTAAAAACTTTGGTTGAGAATGGGAAAATAGCAAATTTTAGAACTCCGCCCGGTTCATTGAGGGTGTCTCATTTGGCCTTTGCAGATGATGTGATAGTCTTTTCTAGGGGTTTGAAGCAGTCCTGGCATCATCTAAATTCTTTCTTTCTTGAGTATGAAAGTGCTTCAGGACAAAAGGTAAATCGGCAAAAAAGCACATTCATGGTTTCAAAGAATTGTAGCACAAGGAGGGTTTCAATAATGCAAAGAGCTCTTGGAATTCAAAAATGATATTTTCCTTTACCTTACCTCGGTTGTAAACTTTACCAAGGTAGGCGGAAGTCGTCTACTTTTCAGTTCCTCTTGGATAATGTGGATAGAAGGTTGTTGAGGCCGATTAATTCTTATAAAGCATGTATTGGCCTCAATTTCCATCCATGTTTTCTCAGCCTTACCACCTCCTAAATCAGTAATTAGGGGTATTGAGCAAAGATGTCAAAGGTTTTTGTGGAGTGGGATGAATGATGAAGACAAGAGACATTGGCGTTCATGGGACAGAATTTCCTTCCCTTTCTCGGAAAATGGCTAAGGGGTAAGAATTTTTCAAGGGATCATTCATGCACTTACTATCAAGCTTTGGTGGAAGTTAAAGCAAAAAAATGGTATTTGGAATGCTTTTATTCACTCATTATCCATGGTGTCAAAACGGAAAACTTCATGGAATCGTATTTGCAAGATTGAAGCTCGCGCAGTGGTCCATAGTAAAGTGCTCATCCACCAAGGTAATAGCTCTTTTTGGTTTGAAAATTGGTCTCCATTTGGAGTTCTTTGGGATGTGGAAGGATTTCAGCCTCCTTTTGCAGGTCTATGCATTTCTGAATTTTTTCACCGCAAACTAGAGTTACTTCCTTTGTTGCAAAATGTGCTTTCAAATGATGTTTTAAATTTCCTTGTGCATCATGAGCAAGAGTTCTTTGATGATGATGACTTGTTGATTTGGTGACACATGACGCATGGAGGCTTAACAGTTAAGTCTGCTTATGAGTCAATTCATCGTAGGAATGAAGAAGAGGATTGGACGAAGAATGTCTGGAATATGGTAACTCCGCTAAAAGTCTCAATTTTTTTTTGGAAGTTGAGGAACAAAATCCTCCCATTTCCTGAAGTTTTGAGTCGAATGGGAATTCCTGTTTCCCCGGCAATTTGCTTGTTATGTAAGGAAAATGGAGATGGAATAGGTCCTTGCTTTTATGGCTGTGGTTTTGCTAAGGAAATATGGGCTCATTTTTCTGTTCTTATGAATATTAACATCAATAATGTCTTCTCCATTGCTACAATTGTTGGCCGGTGGTGTGAAGGAGGAGATTTTAAGACATCTTTTGGGATGTTGCGCAAGTTGCTGCCATCTTTAATTGTATGGGAAATTTGGAAATGTAGAAACAAGGCGATGTTTGAGGGGGTTCTTCCAAATGCTACAAGGATTATAAATTCCATTAAGGACCAGGCTCGTTGCTTGATGCTTATCCATGATCTGAAACTAAGGAATGAAAGGGAGAGTAATTTTTTCTTAAATGAGTTTCAAGCTGATCTTCGTAATTTTTTGCGAGCTAGGGTTTTTAGGGTGGCTTAGAATCCACCACCTGTGAATTCCTTTGTCCTTAACTCAAATGGTTCCTCTAGTTTGGGTGATGCAGGGTATGGCTTTGTTATTAGAGGATATGGGGGCTCCTTTTTATATGGAGAGTGTGGTTACTTAGGAGAAGGGGATAGCTTTCTCGCTGAGACACTTGGAATATTGTTCGGGTTGAGGAAATGCAAGCAACTCAATCTTCAGAATGTTGAAGTTCAGACTGACAACAAGGTTTTATCACAGTCCTTGGTTGGAGGAGTGGTTTTTCCATAATATCTATTGCATATGCAAGAGATATACTCGCTTCTGCAGTGAAATGGTTATAGGTTGGTTCACATTTTTAGAGAGGCTAACTCAGTTGCTGATGGCCTTGCTAAAAAGGCTTCCCTAGGTGATTCAGAAGTATTTCCTTCATTGCATACTTTACCTAGAAATGTAAAAGGATTGTTGCTGCTAGATCAACTTTCCTTTCCCTATTTTAGACGTCGTGTTGCTTGACGTATTTGTGGTTTGTTCATACACTGCCACTTTTTCTTATGGAGATTAAAAAAATTATGGGGGGAAACGAATCTCGGGAACTATATGCTACTTATGTCCATCCCTTGGGTATACCCCTTGGGTGCATAGTATCATATAGCACTGATTGATTTATAAAATAGCTCTTGGGTATACCCCTTGAGTATTTTATAAGTCAATTGGGACCTGAAAATAGTCTCAAATCCTCCCTTTTTCTTTGCTTAAAAAAAAAGAACTATAATTTTTTACATTAAGTTATAATACATAAATTTTATTTGAGATGAGATGTAATGGTGTGATGAATTAGGTGAAATGAATTTGATTACTTTATTTATATATAGCACTCTCCACATTACAATTAGCGAAACAAGCTATTATATGCAACATTTTGTGGGTCAGAGAGAGTACAATAAGATTTTTTCTTTACTTTTGTTTTGTTTCAAATTAAAAACTATTACATCAATTTACTAGAAATTCTTTTATTACTTTTGTTGAAATAAGAACAGTTGATAGAAAGATACAACAACAAAATTTATACTTGTGTCATTGATGTGTTCACTAGGATCAATCTAGTAGAATAAAAAATGTATATCACGTTCTGGAAGTTTAATTAGTCATTTACACAATACGTAATAACAAGCATTAGGGTATTTCCAACCAAGACACCAAAACAGTAAATTTGGTATTTTAGTGTAAAATTTACACTCCAATGAAAACACCAAATTCGTGCACTATTTTAGTGTAATGGATAATGTTACACCAAATTTTGTGTAAACTGTCAATTGTACTATCTTGATGCACTATCTTTTTACTTTGATCTAGATGCATAATTGTAATTTAGTTAAATTTATAAAATGAATTATGTTATGAAATTTTTATCATATTAAATATTTTGTTCAGATCTTCAAAACAAGATCCTTTTTCAATATAAATTTTATTTTTAAAAAAAGAAAAAAAAAAAGTGAATTTCAGTGAACCTTCGAATCAATGGAAAGTCTATTCAGAATGAGCCTTGATTTAAAAAAAAAAAAATAGAAATCTTAGTAGGACGTGAATCACAAATTAATTTAGTCAACAAATGAATTCACTATCTGAGTAGACGTTCCATAAATGTCTAGTAATAATTATTAAAAACAATATGTCCATTTGTATAGGATAACGGCTAGTTGAAAATCTCCGCAAAATTAATTTCAAGATGTTCAACCTTTGACCCAAAAATAAAAGAAAATTTTGAAAATAATTGAAACTAATAATAATATGGAAACTATATAAATAAACATATCCACAGCAAATCATCAATTTATCATAACGACTCTCCCACATTAAATATGTTTCCATATGCATATTCATCTATCTGTTTATATATATATGCGCATTTTCATCTATGCGTATATTCAAAATTCATTACTAATTGTTTGGGGAAAAAAACCTCAAGCTTCTCTTCGGAAAATGGCTCCCAAATCTCTGCAAAGCCTTCTTATTGTTCTTCTCTCTGGTAATATATTTTCTTTGCGACAAGAACTTTTCCAATGAATTTTTCAATTCAAGTTATTTTTCAAATCTACAGTCAAACTACATTGAGTTTTTCCTTTTCACTTTAGTGTGTTTCCTTTAATTGAAAGTGAAACAAATTCTTTTGGCGTCGAAATCATCCTATTTGATGTCTAGTGAAGAAATTTCCTAGTACATATGATTTCAAAACATAGGATTTATTATTACTTCTTCACATAGTAAAAAACAAATGTTGGAAAATGCATCATAGCTATCTTGAGAAATTCTTCAAAGAACTTAATTAATGAACCACCAATTGAATTTATTTATTTATTTATTTATTTTTTATTTATGTTTGGGGTTGATTTTGCAGCTCAAGTAGTGATGATGATGATGATGGTAGAAAGAAGTGAAGGAAAAACATGCTTTGAGATGTATCCATGGGTAGCAGACTGTGACGGTCCCAAAGCTGGTTACCATTGTGCCCTTGAGTGCTATAATAGACATGGGTTTGAAGGCAAGGCTGATTGTCGTAAAGCTGCTGGTGCCCTTACGGAATTTTGCGAATGTTTTTACCCTTGTTGATTAATTTATTCGGAAATTTTTTTGTCATGCCATGACTGAATGCAAAAATTCTGTCAATGATTCAGAGATCACAAATTTCCATTTACTAGAAATTTTGTGTTGATTTTGAATCGTAGGCCAAGATTTGTACGGTACTGGAAAATTTCTATCAATTACTATTATTAGTTCCAAATAAAGGATTTGACCGCACTAAAAACTACTACTATTAATTATTTTAGTCACTATTGTGTTCAAGAAATAACCGTATTTTTTATTTTACACACACATACAATGTCATTTGTAATGCGGGTTGATAAGTCCTCAAGTTTTAAATTATTACTGAGGAAATGTCTTAGGGTAAGTAGTTCGTATTTTATGTTCGAGTAGAAGATATTTTGTGCTAATCCTGCGCGATTTTATTTTTCACAAGAAAATTGAACAACAAGTTCCTCGTTAATTATAGAAAACTATGGTTTGGTTCTCTTTGATAATTTTGCTAATTCTCAAGAAAATTTTTCTTTTATTGAATCATGCTCGCTCCATCTAAGAAAATAGAAAATAAAAAAATCTTTTACTGTGGAACAGAAAGTACAATATTTAGCTCCTTGTTGGCTTCTGCTCGATTATCTTCTTCCCATAGTCTTAGATCGATACGCATCTTAGGTCTAGTTATCAACCTTATAATCCTTCAAAACGTAACTCAATCACTTACTAACAAACATCCAAAACTTAAGGTTGGAAATTACATCTGATGTTACTACAAATAATCCAAATGTACAAATGTTACAAGCATAATTATATTCTATAAAAATAGCAAAGGCTTGTGGGTGGGTGGGTGGGGTTGTGAGGGGGGGGGGGGGGGGGGGGGGGGGGGTGTTTGTGGGTGTGGGGTTGAAAGACGTAGTCTTGGACATAGCAGGAATGCACCAAATGATGAAACTTGCCTATTATGCCATGTTAGTCTACTAAACACTGCTACGCTTAGCTTGAGAAAAGAAGCAACCTCTGGCTTCAAATCAATGCATAAAACTACCAAGGTCTCCTACCACCAATAGGGACAGTGTTTGATCCAGATATCTGACTTCGGTTGCCAAAACCTCCACGACCTCTGCTGCGGAAGTTGCTTCCTGAAGCTGTCATCAAAGTAGCATTTAAGATGTATAAATTACTCTCCAAAAATTTCTTCCCTAACCCGAACGAATGCACAGCTACATTACCATAAAAAGGTGATATGATTTAGTAATAATTTACCGTTGAAACCAGCAGATCGAGCCATTGCCGATAACTGAGGAGGTACAATTTGGCTTGCACCCTGTAATATCTTGATGAGATCTCTAGCATACTTGCAATTTGCATGAGTAAAGAAAGTGAAAGCAGTTCCCCTGGCTCCTGCTCGGCCAGTTCTGCCAATTCTATGAACATAATCTTCAAGACTCGATGGAAAATCATAATTGATCACACATTTTATGTCCTTCACATCTGCAGGCAATGCATAGAGTATTAGTCCAACAAATAATCAGAGTAAAAAAGCAATAAACTGGAGCCTTATCCCTGCATCTCTAAGATATGTAAGACAACACATTCCTTGCAGAATATGCCCACCTCAACCTTGCAGGGATAAGGAGCAGCTCCACAATCACAATTTCCCAACTACAGTATCAACGGAAAAGCTTGCAAGAGTCGTCCGGGCTGTCACAAAAACCAACTTCATAACCGTGGATGGGTAGCTTTTAGCTTCAACCATGTTACTTGGACACAATAACAGGAGCCACAGCATCTTTGAAAATCACATGCTTCTCCAACTCTTTTAAATTTCATAAACACTGTCCAGAAGTAGAGGACCTTACATCCTAAAACTAGGGCTATATTATATCTACCAAATGCACAGGCCTCCTGAATTACCTCTTTCACAGCAATGCTCCAGGCTCATTGCAGTTTCATCGCCAGTTTCATCATGTTTCTTTTGCTGAAACAAATTTTAGAAGGCCATTGGCAACAACTCTGCTCCCAACATGCTCATTGCACTTCAACGTCTTATTGAAACACCGCCTTGAAATTTGAAAGCAATAGCAAGCAGACCTTAAGCATGTTGGCAATAACTCTGACCACCAAAACCATAATTATAGTTCCTGGAGTACAGGAGTACAAGTACTCCATAACCTATCACTAGAGAAACTATGATCTGACAAAATCTGTGACATTGTGCTCCATGTGTCCATGTAACAATAGCTGTAACAGAGTGGTACTACCAGGAGAAAGAAAATATGGAGATTCTGGAAAATTCTACTTTTTGACTTTTTAAGTAATTGGCATTAAGGCAACCACACTTGGGACGAGCCACCAATGCTTGAGTCTAATTATACTACCATGGTGACTTATCAAAGTTATATTTCCTTCGATTTGCCAAAACAGCGCTCCTCCACCAGACAAATTTACCTCATTAGCACTATCCCTGGTGGAACCACCTAGCACCCAAACCACAAATTATTTTCTCAGGAGAGAGGACAGCAGCCGGAGACTCATCCAACATGTAAGCTTAGAACCTAAAACTCCTAAGTTCTAAAACACAGTAATCCTACCAAGACCACGGGCAGCAACATCAGTGGCAGTCATTATAGGACTTCTCCCACTTTTAAACTCAGCCAGGACCCAGTCCCTTTCATCCTGACTTTTATCTCCATGGATAGACAAAGCTGGCCATCCGTCCATTCTTAACTGCCTAGTCACCTGATCGCAGCCTTTCTTTGTTTCCACGAATATGAGAATACGATTTCCATCCATCAGATCTCTCAGCAATTTGATCAGTCTGCATGGATACACGTCGTGAGAAATCAATTCATAAAAGGGAAACAGCTTTTGTTAGAGAGGAGAAAACTATGAACCTGTTGTACTTCTCCACATCAGTCAAGATTTCAACAACCTGTTGTATAGATTGGTTTGCTTTCAAATCTTGGGAACCAATGATGACCTGAAATATGTAACACATTAGAGTTTATGAGCAGACAGGGATCTTAAAACTATATCACAACATCTATCATGCATCAACAGAGCCCAAATATGTGGTTTTCAATTAGCCCAAAGGGAAAAGATAAGAAGGGGCGAAAGAGAGCACCTTATAAGGATTGCACAAAAACTGTCTTGCTAAGGCTTCTACCTCCCTTGGCCATGTCGCACTCCAATATAAAGTTTGTCGATCAGGTCGAATCTGCAAGACAGAGGATCACCTCTAAATTTAATTGCAATAGAGTGAACACAAGATGCACTAAGCCATAAACATGAATATGCAGGAAATCATCCATGCCTCTAGCCCAGAAAGAAGAAGTAAAACATATGAATTACTAAATCTAACAACGCTTCATAAACAAAACCAATGTATTAAATTGATGAAGATACTTGGCAAGGTGATCCTTGCTGTATGACTCAACAGAACACAAAATGAAATAGTGAAAGTAACATTCTTGATTATATTGAAAAGCGATACCTATATATTGTTCCAAATGACCACAATTTGAACACAAAAACATAACAGAATTTTTAAAATTTCAGATATTTATGGAGAAGCTAGAAAATCAGTTCAATAAAGACAAATAAAAGATAACAACTAAGCATATCACAAGAAGAGACCCAACACTTCTCCTCATACGGTCATTCATACTCAGAGCAACAGGAATAGCAATGGGTATTCGTCTGTTTCTCCCTTTCTAATTAGCCCATCATCCTTTCATCTGGGAAACAACATGAAATCAACAGTGACAATTTAAAAGCAATATTTACAGATAGGGCTCCAGTCTTATGGCCAGAAGTTTTTGGGATCGAAGGAATGTGTGATAGTTTGCAGGCGGAAACAAGAAACATCACAGTACGTCTGCCTGAATCCATTATCACCATGCTCTGAAGAATTTGGACTCAGAGATAGCGAGGACAAAAACCCATTCCAAGTATATAAACAAAGACCCCACATGTCCAAAACAGGTTCTATCTTGATTTTTCCTCTATTTAGTTCACCATCTCGAAGTATATAATATTACACCTTTACAACAACTATAACCAAGAACAAAAGCACAACTCATTATCTGCTACTTTTCCTTCTACTTAACTAAGTAATCAGACTATTAGAACTAACCACTACATGCTGAATAAGATCTTAATGAAGCACAGATGTTAATTTACTACTCTAAACTCATGCACACTTGAGCAAAAATTTTCCCAGCATCCACTTGAATCTTTGTTCATGTTTCTAAACCACCACAGTTAAACCATCGTTCATATCTGGATTGCCCTTCTTTTTGACCAGTCAACATACCACGCAACTGAGATCTAATTAAAGAAAGCCCAGTAGTTAAACCAGGAAAACTAATTTATTAAAAATGAGAGTTGCTGTTACACATTCTAACCCAGAAAATAAACTCACATATCTTAATTTACCTTATTGACCAGTTAATAAAACGACTTATGCCCAAAAAAAAAAAAAAGATAAGCTACCATCACATGCACTTTATACAGCCAGAGAACAGGCTAAAAACTGTACGAGCAGTTTGATAGATTGTTAAAAGTTTAATGACCGCGCCGCTCTAGGGTTTGAGTGTTTTAAGTAGTCAGATATTAGGATTCTGACTACTACCACAATTAAGTTCTTCCAACTGCATTGCCACGTGGAAAGCCTCTAACTTGAAAACTCCTTTGTTGATACTAGTAACACAACCCAAAATCAGAAATTTTCAAAAAAAAGTCAAAAACTACAATCAACTTAGTTCTTTACCACTCATAAGTCACAGAATGTCTTTACCACTAGTAACTCAACAAATACACCCAAATTCCTTAATCCTGAAAACCTTGAGATGAAAACTATTTCACCTGCAACTTTACCCCCCAACTTTCAAAGAGCCCTTGCCTTCAAATATTCTGTTTTCAAATTCAATACAGCTAGGTAAAAATTCAAGTGTACTACTCTAATCACCTCAAGGCTCAAACGATGTAGATTCTTTCCTAATCAAGGTCAGTTACTGTCTTTGTACCTCTCACTTTTTTCTGTTTATTATTGTAAACTGCAGTCTACAATATGGATAAGGAAAATTTGGATTTTCAGATAAATTTTACAAACTGACAAGTTCATAAATGTTTGGTTCATCAAATAAAAGATACTGCATAAAAGTTACGAGTAATCATTGTAAAGATAGGTGACATATTATATCAAGTTAAGATTTTGTAGTTATTTCATGAAATTCGCAAGCAAAACTCTGAATTGCACACATAAAACATAACATCCAATCAATCTATTCATGATCAAAACATTAACTCCAGATAGTCCATTTAAGATGCCACCCGAAAAGGTGTATGTTGGCGTTAAAGGAAATAAAGTGGTAAGAGCTTTATTACCTGTGAAACTATTTTCCTAATCTGAGGCTCAAATCCCATATCTAGCATTCTATCAGCTTCATCCAGCACAAGGTAAGTTACTCTTTTCAAATTTGTATGTTGAGCTTCCAACATATCTATCAATCTTCCGGGAGTAGCAATGACAATTTCAACTCCTGGAAAAATTAAAATAATGTCAGACAAATAGATGGCAATAATTTCACCTCACATAGAAAGCAATGGATGAATGAATACGTTACCCCTTTTAAGATCACGAATTTGTGGCCCTTTTGGAGCGCCGCCATAAATACATGTACTTCTTATATGGGATCCAAATTTCAGGGCTTCTTCTTGGATCTGAACAGCCAATTCTCTAGTAGGAGCAAGAACTAACACAATGGGACCATCTCCATAAGCTACATGTATCACAATTTTAGGATTATTAGAAGAAAGCAGTAACAAAGGCACAAGTAGTAAACAGAAACAAGGAAATACATTATATACCCAGTCGTGGCTGTGCAGTAACATGTACAAGGGCGGGCAACATATAAGCGAGAGTTTTCCCAGAACCAGTCTCAGCAATGCCTATCAAGTCTCTACCTTTCAAGGCCATAGGCCATCCTTGAGCCTGGATAGGGGTGGGTTCAACAAAGCCTAATCGAGAAATGACCTCAAGGCAATAGTCTATAAAAGACAAACAAGAGAAATAATAAACAAATTATATCCTTAATAATACTGAAATAGCACTAAAATACGGATGACATGTCCATTTAAGAAAATACCTGGAAAATTTGCTTCATGGAACATTCTGATTGGCTTTGGAACATCATGGCCTTGAACGGTGATCTCCCGTTGAGAGCGATAAAGTGTTACCTCATGCTCAGTCATTGCCCTGACTGCCGGACATTCGACATAAAAATTCTTCTCAAAAGGGACCAAATCTCCAAATTCTGGCTTTGGAAGAGACAGACTGTCTAGATCATCTCTAGGCCTGCTATGCCTACTACCACCACCGCCTCCAAAACCATCCCTTCCACCCCTACCACCACCCCGCCCACCATCAAAACCTCCCCTTACCCCGCCACGTCCACCACGAAAACCACCCCTCCCAGCATCAAAACCACCCCTCCCACCACCACGTCCAGATTCATACCCTCCACGCCCTCGGATATCATCCCTTCTATCCCCAAAACCACCCGAAAACCCTCTTCCTCCACCTCCACCGAAACCAGGATACCCATCAAAACCACGGCCACCAATTACTGGTGGTGGAGCAACGGTAGGCCTCCCTCCTGGACCATAACCGGGAGCTGATTGAACTGGAGCTTGTGCCCCAAACAGATCACTAGAATCCAAGAAATACACCCAAAAAAAAAAAAAAAAACCGTCAAAACTATCTCCTTACTACAGGAACATCACTCAAAACATATCCAGTAACACAAATTAATCAACACCATCGACAAAATTAAACTTCAAAAAGCATACAATACTAAGCCAAAACAAATTCATATGCGGACTGAAAAAAAAAGAAACTTTACGACAAGAACAATCCAGACCTGTATTCCTAGTACGGATTTCGAAGGAGACAAAGGTAGACAGATTACCTGCGACGGTTACGGTACGAGGAGGCATCAGTATATCTGGGATCATGGGAATTATACATGTCTTCGATTTGAATTGTATTGTTTGGTGCTTTAGGGCTATGGAATTTTTTGCAGAGTTTCAAAAAAGGAGGAATGGGAAGTAAAGGAAGATGCCAAGTTCACCGAGTCACCGACCGACGTTGGGTACTTGGGTTCTTATAGTTTCGCGTGATTTTCTTTCGGTAAGTTTGCTAAATTAAAAGTTTTTTTGAAATAATAGTAGTAATAACAAAAATATAAAAGAGTGACTTTTCTTTTCTGGGAAAATTGCTATTGAGGGTCTTGTATGTTTTGAAATTCCTAATAATGGTGTCAAAATTGCAATTATGCCCTAGGAAATTTTTTAAAACAAAAATCCAAAATGATGTGACGGCATTACTGAAACTATGGTTTTGCATCATGTGTTTCATTCGGCTTCTGTCCAAATTATTCCCAAATATTTCAAAGAAGAAAAAAAAGAAAAACGAGCCAACAAAAACACACACAAGGAAATTTCCTTTGCAAATGAATCGAAAAATAATACTATATCACTTTTGTTTGGATTATAATTTTGTGAAAAAAGAAAGATAGCATTTTTTAGAAGTTATTTTCTTTAACTTTGCGACGGTATATCTAAAGAAAAAATAAGTTCAGTTTAAAAGTCTCCTCCCTACTTATCGCTGGGTTCCTCACATCCAAAATAGAGATTGTATTTGATGTATGGTGTTCAAATTTGTTATTCTCCTTGGTCAAGTTTTAATCTACGCAAGTGGTTAAGTTCTTTAAAAAGGAGGGGGAAAAAAAGCCATAAAGAGGCTAATTTAATGTAGTGTTGTTTAAGGAAATACAACAAAATTTATTATTGACATTTAATTGGTTAAACCTCTGTAAATCTGTAATCAACAATATATTTAATACATTAAAATATTTTCATGCCCTTATAAAGAATTTTGAAAATTTCATTTAGGAATTTCAAAACCTACCATGTCCCTAGTAAGAATTTTCCTAATCTTTTTTTATACATGGTTATCCAAGAATCAAAATCAGAGTTAAATTTTAAAGGTCATTATGGCCCCGTACGAGAAAGTTTTGGAAAACATATTTTTTGGTTAAGATCTAATAAAAAAAAGCCTAGAAATGCAAATAAGATGAACTAGTGACTCAACCCCGACACTGGCATTAACATGTCTTTTCGATTATTATGAAACTTGTATGATTATAGCTTTAATTTGACAAATTTAGTTCATTCAAATTTTCAAGTAAATGCAACATTGAATATGCAGTTAATGCTTGGATAAAAATATATCATAGCTAATACTTTAGAGATTACTAAAATTTATTTTTAATATTTTATGTCTGAATTTTACAAATTAAAAAATATTAGTAACTTTGTGTTTAAGGTTGGAAAATATTACATGACAAGCTGCCACGTGTCTTTAGTGACAGCTGTTTTCAAGAGGTAAAAAGGGATATGGGAATGAAATAATAGAAATTTTAATAATTCTGAAAAGTCCAAATGAAAAGGTTCACAAAAATGATGATCTATAACACACAATAATTTGAGTTAAATTTCGAAAACTATATTACAACACCGTGCTGAATTTTAATTAAAAAAATATATAATTTATGTCAAGATTTTTGTTAAAATCTAAAAATGTAAATCAAATATCTATTAGGTAACACAAAAAACAGAAAAATAAAATTTTTTTTTTCAAAAACTTGTCAAATTGTCTGATAAATGGCATCAATTCAAATCATAGTAATTGCATAACATTGCAATGTGAATCTCTAATATTATATCTCATTAGTTTAAATATATTTTTTTCATTAGATATCAATTTTTATATGCTTATATGAGTTTAAAAAAATGATAAAAATAGAGTTAAGTTTTAGAAACTGAATTGCAGGGCCGCCGTTGAATTTTGAAAGAATAATTTATATCACGAGCTTTGTTAAAAAAATTTCCAAAAATGCAAATTGGATTAAAATTAAAATAAAATAAGAACAAACGTAAACAGATAACGAACAAGAGTAATGGGGGAAATTCAAGTTATTTTATCCTTAAATTCATTAAATATATATATATATGATTCAATAACCTCAATTGGAATCATTATTGTTTAATATTTTTTTTTGAAGCAATAGATTATATTAAATTTGCTGGAAATCAGCCAGCCTTGAATGATACAAATAACTTGGTGTATTCAGCCAAGTTATATCATTTATTACATGCGATTTAGCATCAGCAGTTATAACATGAGCTACTTCATTTTCTTGACGCGGAATCCAGTATATGGACATGAAAGAGAGATCTAACAATAACTGGTTAATCTCTAACAATATTGGTAAACAAATGGACGAACAATCAGCTTCACCTATGGTTACTAGGATAGCTACAGAAGAGCCACCCATAATAGTAGCATTGTTAAGATTAAGATCTTTTATCAGTAAAATAGCATCTTTCAAAGCCATCATTTCCGCAAGTTCTGAAGAACGAGTCCCATGCATACAATGACCCTTGGCAGCTACAAAGTTACCATGTTGATTACAAATATAGATGACTGTAGCAACACAATTCCTAATTCTCGAAACGGCTCCATCGAAAAATATACAAGTTTGCCAATTCTCTGGAGGAAACAAGTGTTTTGAACGCAATGCAGGTGATCAACGTTCAGGCTGTCCATTTGCAAACTTAAAAATCCTTGAGCATAGTGGCAACATTTGTCGCCAAACTTCTTTGACAAGCAATGGTGTGGTTGAATAAGCTATTATTACGGGCATACCACAACAGATTGAATAAAGCATCAAAAAATTCAGCAAACGGTTTCTCATAATGGATGAAGATTTCTCTTACCCGTAAGTCCCATCGTGGCTGCTGATATTCAAGAATTTTATCTCGTATTCCAGAAAACATGAACATTTGTGTTGCAAAGGGGCAGTAAACAAAGGTATGCAAAGTTGTTGGATTTTGCGCAGCACATAGAGAACAAGGTGAATCTAGGACACAACCTCGTTTCCCCAAATTCTCCAATGAAGGAAGTGAATCTGTTGAGCATCACCAGAGAAAATGAATGATTCTGTTAGGAATTTTCAGCTTCCATAACTTAGTCAAGAATGTAGTATCATCCACTGACAGAACTATAGAAAGATGATTATCAACCAGATGTGATGGAATTTTTGTTAAAGCATGATATGCTGCTTTAACACTGAATCTTCCATTAGCTGAATGATGCCACATCCATTTATCCCTTGATGACGGACTTCCAGGTAACATTTAGAGAATACTGTCAGCTTCTGATGGTTGGAAAATGCTACGAATTAAACTCACCTTCCAGCTTCCTGTATCATGATCAATTAAATCAGTAACAACAGCATTAGGAAGGAGAATTGAGAAAGCACTATGCGTTTAAAAATGCGTAGTGCTAGGAATCCAACGGTCCATCCAAATACGAGTGTCTTGGCCAGAATTGATTCTTTTGCGATAACCAAGCAATAAAGTATTCTTTCCATGCATAAGACTACGCGCAAGTAAATGAAGGTGCATTTCCAAGTGTAGCATCCAGAAAAGATTGATTTGGGAAGTACTTTGCTTTCAAGATTCTTGCAAGTAATGAACTTGGATTTGCAAGAATACGCCAAGCTTGTTTACTTAGAAGTGTTAAGTTAAATTTCTCTAAATCTCGAAATCCCATTCCTCCACTCCTTTTTGGCTGTGATAATTTGATCCATTTTACCCATCTGATCTTTCTTTTGTCTCCAGTATCACCCCACCAGTATGAAGAGCACATGGAATTCAGCTTATGGACAACTGTATCAAGCAATCTAAAACATGACATAGTCTAAGTTGGTATTGCTTGAAAAACACTTTTGATAAGAATTTCCTTGCCACCCCGTGATAAATGCTTCTCTTTCCAACCTGAAACTCGCTTCCATACACGATTAGTGACTTGATCAAAAAGTTCTTTCTTACTTCTTCAAGAAATTGTAGGCAGCCCTAGATATTTGTCATGTTTTTCCACTCGTTGAAACCCTAGGATTGATAGGATTTTCTCCTGCATTTCCATCTTTGGTTTGGAATGAACACAATTCCTGATTTCTCCTGATTAACACGTTGACCTGAGACTTTTTCATATAGATCAATGGCATACTTAAATTTCAAAACTTCCTCCTCTGTTGCATGGCCAAACAATAATGTATCATCTATAAAAAACAGATGAGAAATAGAAGGAGCACCTCGGCTCACAACAACTCCATGTATTTTTGCACAAGCTTGCAAATCTTGAAGAATACATGAAAAACTTCAGAACAAATAATAAATAGGTAAGGAGACAGTGGATCTCCTTGTCGGATTCCTCTTTTACGGATGAGGTTTCCGAACTGACAACGATTTAGTAAAAAAGAAAAGGGCACAGAAGAAAGACACTGATATATTAAGTCTATAAAAGAAGAGTGGAATCCTAAAGCTCTCATAATCTCACATAAAAATGACCATTCCACTTTGTCAAAAGCCTTACTCATATCAAGCTTCAAAGACATTAGACCTAATTTCCCCGATGTTCTTGATTTCATGTAATGGTGCGTTTCATAAACAACCAAAATATTATCTGTGATAAGTCTACAGGGTATAAATGCAGATTGTGAGTCACTAATGATAGAAGGAAGTATAGTTCGAACTCGATTAGCTAGAACTTTTGAAGCTAATTTATAAACCATATTACAAAGACTAATAGGTCTAAACTGACTAATAAAATCTAGCTTTTCTACTTTAGGAATGAGGACAACATAAGTGAAATTAATTGAAGGATTAATACTTTTATTATTTAAAATATTTAAAACATAACGAATAATATCAGAACCTACAACATACCAAACTTTTTGGAAAAATATTGGAGATATACCATCAGGACCAGGAGACTTAAAAGGGCACATTTGTTTTAGAGCTTTTTTTATTTCTTCACCAGAGAAAGGCATTAATAAACGATCATTCATTTTCGAATTCACAAGTGGTCTAATCCGGCTTAATGCTATCCGAGTAGCATAATCAGAGTAACAAGCAGTAAAAGTAAATAACTCACCAAAATAATTATTAATGATACTCCATAGTTCCTCTTTTGCATAGCATTCCCGACCTTGATCATCTTTTAAAGAAGATATATGATTCACCTCTTTCTTTTATCAGCATGAGAGTGAAAGACTTTAGTGTTCCTGTCTC